ACGATGCAAAAGCTAGTAATTATAGCCAAATGCTAACGGCACAATGCACCCTTTTGGCTTCAGTGTGTTACGACTGTCTTTGTTTAATATTTTAAACGCAGCATCGTCTGAACGCAACCTGGATAAGCTGTGGAAAATGGATGGATGGATGGATGTGATGTGATAGCATACAATGCTAAAGCTAGTAATTATGGCCAAATGCTAACGTCAAAACGCGTCGACTGTGTCTCTAAGTGTGTTTGTGTGATAGCATACGATGCAAAAGCTAGTAATTATAGCCAAATGCTAACGGCACAACGCGTTGACGATGCGTGTCTCTACTGAGTTTTAGGCCTTCAGTCACGCGTTTTCTCAATTAGTTCAAAACCCTTTGGGCTCCAGTTTGTTACAATGGTCTTTAAACGTAGCATCGAGAGAACAACGGTTGCGCGGCGGAGTAGTTTTTTCTCTCCACGGGCCCTGAACGCAACACGGAAAAGGATGAATAATGGAAAATGGATGGATGGATGAATTTGATAATACGATGCAAAAGCTAGAAATTATAGCCAAATGCTAACGGCACAATGTGCTGACAATGCCTTGACGATGCGTGTCTCTACGTTTTCAGGCTTCGGGAAGGAGAAGGAGAAGGAGAAGAAGCTCGAGGATGAGAGCAGCGCGGGCAGCCACCCGCAGTCGGCCTTCCTGGGGCCCACCCTCTGGGACAAGACCCTCCCCTACGACGGGGACAACTTCCAACTGGAGTACATGGACCTGGAGGAGTTCCTGTCCGAGAACGGGATCCCGGCCAACACGGCCCAATCCGAGCAGGCGCCCCCCCCCCAGGCCCCGGCCCCGCCCGCCCCGGCCGCGCCCGCCCCGGCGCCCCTCCAGCAGCAGGGGGCGCCCCCCCCCGCCCCCCCCACCCCCTCCGTGGTGGTGGACCTCAGCAGCAGAGCCACCACCTCCGTGCACGTCGCCATGGCGCCCCAAACCTGCCTCCACAGCCCCAACACAGCAGGTAGGAGCCAGTTCAGATCTCTACTTCTACTCCTGTCTCTTAGTACAGGGGGTTTTGGGGGGTGGGGGGGGTTAGGGTTAGGACTAGGGGTGGGACGGTTCTCAAAATCCCCGGTTCGGTTCGGTTCACGGTTTCGTGGTCACGGTTTTCGGTTCGGTTCGGTATATGTTGATTGGTAGGAGAATCTATTATGTCTTGTATAGTCAGGTAAAAACTGAAAGCAAAAAGTAGTCACGGTTTTCGGTTCGGTTGGGTAT